CGGACAAGAGAAGTATTACTGGCGGAAAACACTGTTAACTTTTCTTATAAGAGCGCGCCAATAACAGCGTAGAGATGAACGCGTGTGCCAACATGGCACGATGTCGCTCAATTCAACATAATTATTTGAATATCAACATTATAATTTTAAGTCTTTATCATTCCAAATGCTATGCATTGATGTACCTTAATACTAATTCAATATAATTTCAAGACTCAAGTAAAAAAATGTGACCATTATATATGTGCGTCTAGCTGTTTTGTCGTGAGTTTAAATCGATCACGAGAGCATCACACTACTACCAACTGTTAAATCAAGTTCGGTTATTTAACAGAGTGATTCCAGCAAGAGATGCGCAACTAGCGTAAAAAGCTTTTTAGCTTTATATTTAAGATTTGTTAGAAAGCCAGAGATATGTAATTTCTTGATCCGAAATTAACAATATTCTTTCAATCAACTGAAAAATATTTGCATCTAATATATTCAGCTGCATTGATAATGTATTAAATCAACTTTGTTATTCAAGCACTGCAACGTTGCAGTGCCATTAAGCTGTTATGTTAACATATATCTAACAGTGCTGAATAATTTCTCACAGAGAGCAACAGTTGCACTCGCAGTCTGTTAGCTAAACAGAGAGAGTGAACATATCAGCTTTAGCTTTAGCGCTTAGCCGATTTCGGCTAACGGAAAAATTATAGAGTTCTGCATCTACATTTTATTTATTCTGAAGCCTTGTATATTTATAAATCTGCATTTTCAGCATTAGTTTCTCTTCTCTAGTGGCAAACGCATGTTCCACCGCCTCCATTGTCAGCGCGATGCACTGACTCTTGGTCAAACCGAAGGATTCTGTTGCCAGGAAGAATTCGTCCGATAATGTCGTATCGAATACGCCACTGTCATCAGTACAAAGAACTTTTGGTGCACATGTTGCCATCAGCTGCTTGAGATGATGGGCCCCAATGTTGGCCACAGTTCCGGACTTGACGTTGCTCGTCAAACAACACTCGATGGGTATATTTTCCTCCTTCATATGCTCGAAACCAGAGTCAGATAAATATGTGCCATGGCCACAGCGCGACATGCCAAAGCGAATCATCTCTCTAATCTCTACTGGATTATCCACTTCGGCACAATGCATGGCCAGCTTTAGACCATGGTTTCGTGCCTTGCTTAATACTGGTATAAAGTCCTTGAAGTTGCCCTGATTCGGATTTCCGCTAAAATCAATACCAACTATAATTTCTGGCTCGATTGTGGCTAGTTCCACCGCTAAGGCGACAGTTTCCTCAGCCACGGCCACCGGCTCGGCACGGTTTATGGACGGCAGTAATTTTACCTTGATCTTATACAGATCGGACTTATTTTTTATGACACCCAGAACGGTGTCCAGATACGAACGACGGGACATATTTCCGTTCGCCTTGGGCGTGGTGCGCAGCTCCACATATATGACATTATCCTTGGCGAAGTCACGTATAACCAATTCGGTGGCGTACTCCAGACCCTCTTTGGTTGAAGTCAGCTCATGTACGAAGCCAAACTTTTCGAAGCAGTCGTCCAACTTCGCGCCCTTCTCGAATTTAATGAAACGCTCGCATAATGTAGAAAATTCTTTTGTCTGTACGCCATAAACTTTCGCCGCCAATTCGCGGATGCTGTCAATGTTCAAACTGCCATTTAGATGAGCGTGCAGCTCGATTTTCGGCAGATTACGCAAGAATTGTAGCATTTTGTGTAATTTAATTTATTTGGGAGTTTGTATTTATTGTCAGCTGTGTTTTGGCTTTTTATTTATATTTGGGAGTGCTTAGTAGCCCTGGCACTATCAGCTGTTGTTTAACAGCATACACAACATTAACATACGCCTGCTATTAAGAAATATGATTTTCAATAATTCAAATGAAAGGAAAATGCAAACCAACTAAATAAATATAATACTAATTTTGTTTGCCAATGCGTAGTTTGTTTTTATTTACTACTTTCATGTGAATTCTCTAGGTCTTGAGCTTTGATCAAATGAACATTCTGACTCCGTTATCAGCTGATATGATTCCGATAACTTAATAATCGATATATACGTAAAATTATCGTTTATGTAGCAGAAGAAACTACTTAAATAGAAAAATTATTTATTCTGAAGATACATAAACGAGAGAAGTAATTGCTTGTTGCCATGTCGGATGCGCACTTAGAAGCGCCGCCTTCGGTGCGTCTCACCAACGATGATTTTCGTAAGCTGCTGGCCACTCCGCGTGCCCCGCCACCAGGATCCTCGAGCAGCGCAGGCAGCGGTTACCTGGCCACTGCCCAGTTTGCCACGCCTTCTGCTGTCGGTGAAAAGAAGAAAAGCCAGAGCAGCAGCGAACGGAATGACCTACGTCGCAAGAAGAAGAACTTCTATGCAGCACTCAAGAAGCAGGAGGATGTCAAGCTGCAGGAACTCTCTGAAAAGTACAGAGATCGTGCCCGCGAACGTCGTGACAATGCCAATCCGGACTATCAGAATGCCAGCACGCCCGGTCATGGCAGCAGCACAAATGCCTATAGGGCCGTGGCACCAGATATGAAATCTGGAGTGGATGCAGCAGAGCGCCGACGTCGTATCATACAGGAGTCCAAATTCTTGGGCGGTGACATGAAGCATACGCATTTAGTGAAGGGTCTTGATTACGCCCTGCTGCAGAAGGTGCGATCCGAGCTGCACAGCAAGGAAGCCGAAGAGGAGGAACTGGCCGCCGCCTTGGCACGAGAAAAGTTGGCCGAAGAAGCAGCCGCCGCGGAGCAACTGGAGGCCGAACGTCGCGAGGCTGAGGACATAAATGCGATCAACGGTCCCATGGCACGCAACATATATAATCTAATACAGGCGCGGCGCTCCAAGGAGGTGCCCCGCAATGAGCTGTTTGCGCCCGGACGCATGGCCTATGTGATCGACATGGAGGATGAGATGGACATGGATATACCGACGACGCTGAAGCGCTCAAAGTATGAAGTGCCCGTGCCACGAGAGGACATTGCAACACTGACCACGAATGACATTGTCATCAATAAGCTGTCCCAAATTCTGAGCTACCTGCGAGCCGGTGGACGCAACAAGAAGAACAAGAAGCGCGACAAGGATAAGCCGCTGTTCTATGAGAAGGAAGTGGAGAATGTGCATGGCGGCAACAGCAGCGCCAGTGGCGCAGCTGCCGGTGGCAGCAGCTCAATGCCGAGCGGCAGCAAAGCCTCGAAAGCTGTGGGCGACAGCATCTACGATGATGTGGGCGATTATCAGCCCTCAAACTCGCGCAGTGATCGGCATCAGTCGAAGCCAACAACGGGGCAATCCTACTTCGGAGATGCACCCGCCGAGCCGGAGCCGGTAGTAACAAGTATACCGCCACCTCCAAAGATATCCAAGGCGATGGCGTCACGTTTTGCCAACGAACCGGAAGGCTATGCTGAATGCTATCCGGGTCTGGAGGAGATGAACGATGCCATTGATGATTCAGATGATGAGGTGGACTACACCAAAATGGACTTGGGTAACAAAAAGGGCCCGATCGGACGCTGGGACTTTGATACGCAGGAAGAGTACTCGGACTACATGAGCACGAAGGAGGCGCTGCCCAAGGCTGCCTTCCAGTACGGAGTTAAGATGCAGGATGGTCGCAAGACGCGCAAAAACAAAACCGAGAAGAACGAAAAAGCTGAGCTCGATCGCGAGTGGCAAAAAATCCAAGTGAGATTTGGCTTAACATAAGCTAGAATCTGCAACTAATTTGCATTCTATTTTTACAGGGTATCATACAGAAGCGCAAGCTGCCCAAGGATGGAGGCGGAGATGAACCAGACTACAAATCAGCTAAATACTAAATTAGTTCAGAGCGGAAACTCGTTTCAGGATTTGCATGAAAGCTTAAGAATATTCTAATTGAATATTTTTATTTTTAGCATGAAAACAGAAATAAAGCTAATTTTACTTGAATCTGAAACGGATATATTCTAATCTCCAATCATTCAATTATACAAAATTATTATATATTAATAATATATATTATACAATTAGGGAAATCGAGCATGATAAATGAGGTAATAAAACATTTATTAATAAATGCCTCAAATATGAATAAATATCTGAATTTATTTTTAGTTGGTTAAAATTCGATTCCGAGATAAAAACACATTTCTTTTAATTTATTTTAAACATTATGAACTATTTATTTTAATTTATGTTGTAAAACATTAAATATACGTATGTATGTAGGTGTACAAGTATAATTCTTATTTGCTCATACAAATTTATGTATGTATTTATATGTATATATATATATTTTTTTTTGTTTATATATATGCTAAATAATTGTTTAGCCACTTTATCACTATGCTTATATATTTTACGATATCTCTTTCGTGCTTTATAAATGTGCCTGATCTTTGAGCTTCTACTGGGAAGAGAAAGGCTGAGGGAACATGGTACTCTAGTCGGGGCAGACCTAATGGGAGTGTATTCTATATAGATATATATATGCATATCGATCTAAAAACCAACTGCAGTTAACAGTGAGACGCGTTTGAACTAAGCTAAGATTAATTCCTGCTCAGTAGCCTTGCCTAAGTGCGTGTGCTCTCTATAAGATTGGCATCCTTAAATGTGCTTAGATACAATTTGTATAGGTATATATAATATATGACACTCAGATTCCAATTTGCAATCGAATAAACAATTAACACACACACTATATGATCCATGCTTGGGAATGCTAATATATATACTCATATGTCTGTACTTATTGCATATCGTATATCGAATATCGTATATATAGATATACACCTCAACCTATCACTACATATTGTTCAAAATATGCTTAAGAGAAATGAACAAGATTTAATTAAATATAAGATCTACGTTAATTGCATTTGAAGTAATTCGGCAAGGCCGCAATTCACAATACCCTTCGCATTGTTCATAGAGCTTTAACACCCTAAATATATTGCACATAAAACTCTTATTTTTGTAAATTTGTCATTAATCACTCAAGATCAATTTTAGTTAAAAATTAAAATTTGCATGTTTGCAGACGAAACATAAATTTCGATTCTAAAATATTTCTCTATTGGAAGAATAAACAGCTAAATGTAAATTTAAACATAAAAATCACAGCAAATTAATCATGTATATAGAAAATAATTAAATGTTAGAGCTTAGATTCTTCTATGTTCCATAAAAAGGGAATTGCACATCATGTCTTAAAGGGAATATTGCAATACAGAAACCGCGTTTAACTTAAGAGATTTAAATAATTTTCGGCAAGATGATATATTAATGTGTCTTTTAAAACACTTGACATCAAGGTAGAATTTGTTTATGCTAATTTTTCGTGTACAATATTCGATATATAGTTTATATATCCAATGCGAAGGGCATAGGCTTAGTTTTCTTATTTTGCTTGCTCTATCTGCTGCTGTTTAGAAACATAATTCTTTGGTTTTCTTTTATTTTGAAACTGTCTATTGCTACATCTTTGAATCGCTCCGATGGTCTAGTTTAAGGTGTTTTTCTGGCGGGTTTAGGTGAGGATGTTCCTTGTGTGCTGGCAATAAATACAGTTCCCTAGCGTAAATCAGAACATGCCCCAAACAGATTTACAATTACAGAATAGGCGGAGACTTAATAACTAAACACGAGTCAAAACAAGGAGAGTGTGGGTGTTTGTGTGTGTGTGTGTGTGTGTGTGTGTGAGGTGCCCATAGCCCATGCTGCAGGATATCTATATAGATCCGCTTAAGATTCAGCCAGTAAATGTACACAATTGCCGTTGGCGTCGCCTCTGCTATCTGCTGGTCGGCCCTCAGTCACGCCAGCTGTTGGTTAAGGAGAGCCGGCGACGCTCCACCAACTTGATGTCCTTGACACAAAGATCATGCTTGGAATTGCTGGCGAAGCGTATCACCGACTGGGTGCTCACCTGCGGCACATGCCGCAAGTCCAGCCAGATAAGACTTTCGCACTTGGACAGATGTTCCAGCGAGTTCTCGGATACCAGGCGACAGGCGCTCAAATTAAGCTCCGCCAGCCGTTCAATTGCCGTGGGCGAGGTGCCAATCTGTGCCACGCCTGCGTCGGTGATGCGCTGGCACGAGGAGAGATCTAGGTGTTTGAGATGTGGCAACGATTGCATTATATAACGCACAGCCACGTCCGATATGTCAGTGCCGGCTAGCTTCAGCGTTTTGAGATCACGCAGCCGTGTCTTTGAATCACTCAGACCCGGACGCGAATCCTTCGGCGGCGACAGTATGTCCCGGATGGCCGCGTCATTCAAGCCTCGCACAAAACTCAAGTCGAGTATTTGCAATGGAGGGCAGAGGCAGGTGTGCAGCGCCAGCACCGCCTGGATGGGGCAATTCTGCAAGGAGAGATTCTTGAGGGCAGGCAGGCGAGCCACCAACCAGGCCAGTTGCCGCTTGGCCAGCTGCGTCCAGTCCAATATCAAATGCTCCGGCTGCCGCCGCACAATGGCCGTCAATAGAGATGCGGATATTTTAAGCTCAGCACAATTCATGCGCTTCCAGAGATCAGGATCGACAGCGGCATTTGACCATGCCTTGCACACCAAACAGCACGTGACGAGCGTCTCGGGCGGCAGATAACGGAATATGATCTTCAGCACAGTTGGATCCAGTGCCAAATTGTGGGCGCTGCTATTACTATGACTGTGACCGTGACCGTGACTGTGACTGTTGCCACTGCCATGGTGCGCATGATGATGGCTGTGTCCGTTGGCGCCATTGCTGTGCTGTGCTCCACCAGCAACACCACCGCTGACAGCGCCAGCTAAGCCCGCTGCAGCACTTGTGCCGGCTCCATTGTTGAGCCCATTTATGGCGCCGTTACTCAAACCAGATCCGGTTAGACTGGAGCTGACCGCGCACGCTGGACGCACCACATACTGTGGCTTCTTCAGCACACGCGTCGACGAGTTAAGCATCTGTTGCGCCAGCTGTGAGCGTATGGAGTTCTTTTTGCGTGAACCACCGCCACCTCCGCCATGACCAGTGGATGCCGCACCAGTACCTGCTCCACTTGTAGCCTCCATGGAACTGGAGCAGGGCGCATCGTTGCTCTCATGCATGCTGCTGCTGACGCTAGTGCCGTCGTCGCTCTTGCGCCGTTTCACCTTCTCGCCCAGCAGATGCGACGCATTGGGTGATATGCCCGGCGAGGGCGTGTCACTGCTGTTGTTGCGCTCCGTCTTCACTTCCAGCTGATGATGACGCTTGAGACCGTGTTTCCAATGCGTCGTATGCATGCTGCCCGACTCCATTTCCGATTCGCTCGTAAACACAAAATCATTGTATTGTCCAACAGGCGGTGGCAAAATGCTACCTACTCCAGCTGCACCTCCAGCTCCCTCCTGACCATCGCTGGTGGTGTTGCCATGCGAAACAGAAACGCGTCGTACCTCCGATGATTTTTGGCGGGCGCGAAAATGTCGCGGCTGCAATTGGAAAGTGGAAAACAATTACAATAAATACAGCAACACTTCCCTATCTAAGTAATTCTGTTTCTTTTAATCCCAATGATAGGCCACATTGAGTGATCTCAGAGCACGTCTGTTAGGCAGTTGAGTGATGTAAAGGCTCTGTTATTTACAGATTTCATGTTTGTATTTGGTGTTAAGAGAGGCGGCTTGCAGGTTGCACATTTGAGTGCTGTTAAAGGCTGCCTAACATATGCATGTTATGTTAAGCAATGGAATAGTATAAGTAGCAAAGTCACACGGACGTTACCCAACAATAATATGTGAAATGTTAATCGAGAGTGATGTTATTAAAAGAATTATGTTATTTCACAATACTCACTTTGTAATCGTAATTCTTGCCAGAGCGACAGCAACTGGGGCACTCCCAGCTATTGGGCAGATCCTCGTTGACAATGCCCTTGGCATCGGCGGCATCGTCGGTGCCATCCAGCTGGGATAACGCACAATCCGGATGAGCGATTTCGTAGCAAACGGAACACTCCATCAGCGCAGAGGGACCCTCCAGTGAGGCCAGCTGCTTGGTTTGTGGCGACACGGGCATCTGCCGCCAACCGTCCAGATGACAGTAGACGCACTGCGCCGTCACTGGCAGCATGGGTGACAGGCACTGTCGCATCATGCACGTCTGTTTGGCCCGTCCCGGCCCACCGAACTTCACCATGTCCATGCAAAAGGGGCACGTGCCGCAATCGGAGCGCTGACAGGCGGCACAGTTCTTGCAGCGCGTGCGTCGTCGCCTCGGCTGTCCGGTGCCCGTCAAGTGTGGCGACAGCTTGGCACTCGCCTCACCCGGCGACAAGCAATTGTCCAACGACGTGCTCATGCTGCCATCCGCATAGTTGGAGCTGGTGGCAATCACACTAACGGCATTACTGTTGTTCCCCACATTTGTGGGACTACTGCTATGAGCTTGGCTGCTGCTGTTGTTGTTGTTGGTGTTGTTGCTGTTGCTGCTGGTGCTGCTGCTGGCAGCAGCTGCCACAGCATTTGCCAAATGCATCTTCTTGGGTGGTCGATACTTCAGCGTGTCCGTGGGCAGCACAAAGGTAGCTTCTGCGAATGGAGTTGGAAGAGTGGGGATACGTTAACAAAATAGTAATAAAAAATTTGGGTTCAACTATCAATTTGAGATAAGTTGAGATATAGAAGGCAATAGCGGAAGGATTTTATACAAAGATACACACCTTGTTGTGACCCATGTCCTGTGGATGAACCGTTCTCCAGATGCTCCTTCTTCAGCACCCCATTGCTGTACTCCACGCCCTGGCTGCTGTAGCTGTGGTTGTTATTGTTGCCACTGGAGGAGTTGGCGCTGTTGCAGCCATTGTTCGAGCTGTTGTGACCGCCGTGGCCTGCCTCTGATTCAGCTTCCCTGGCCGCCTCCAGCTGCTGCTGTTCGCGTATGACTTCCGCATTTTTGCGTGCTATCTCCTGTTTGATCTCCTGCTTGACGCGTGTGCGATCGTACAGCTGAAAGACAGGCTGATGTTCGGCAGCGGGCCGTAGGACAGACATGCCTGTCACAGCCAAATCCTGTTGATCCTTGCAATGTCGCTCGACCAGCGTGCGCACATCCTTGATGAGGGCAACCGGATCCAGGACAAGACTGGGCACATTCTTCTTCTGAGGTGGCAGATCGTACAAGTACATGACAATCTCCTTGAGCCCAAAGAGCTCGTAGTGGGTGAGATGGATGTGCGGGCGGGCGGACATTTCGATCTCACTGACCGACGGCTCCCCCTCCAGATGCGAGTGACCCAGCAACGTGTAGACATAGCGTGCCAGGACATACCACAACATTTCGGTGAAAAATGGATAGCGGAACTTTTGTGGCACCTTCGTATTATCCTCAACGCTGGCCGTCTTCAGCTGCTTCACAATGCCAAAGGAGTGCAGGAAATTGCCGCCAAAGACCAAAGATTGGGTGGGTGTATAGACGGCATGTATCCAGCCGGTGGGTATAAAGAACGTATTGCCAGCCGTAAGATAGACCCGTGCACACTTCTCGACCGTATCGCCAAAGAATACATCCGCCTGCTTGCCAGACAGCACCCATTTCTCGTACAGCTGCAAATTGCGGTCGGTGGGTGGGATTAGCCAAAACACTTTGCTGCCCTTCAATATGTGATACCAGACAGAGGTGCCACCAAAATCAATGTGAAAATCTGTATAGCAGTTCTTAACGGACATGAGGCAATACTTTTGCACTTTTGGATACATCATGCCACCCAGCAGGTTGGTGCCCTCTTTTTGCGCATCTTTCAGCTGCTTGGGCCATACCACATCGACCCAGTCGATCTGTCGCACTATCTCTGGACTCTGGACAAAATTATCGAGTCGTGTATGCGAGAATTCCAAAGATATAACATTCAGCAGACGATCCTTTTGCGGATTATCATAGTATTGCTGCCACTCCTTCATCGTCATCTGCAGATTCTTCTGCGTGTTGACATCCATAACATCCAGCAAGCGACGTGATCCCACACACAGACGCACATCGTTCACCGTGAACTCCTGGGCATCGGGCATGCGCAGCCCCAAGCCGTTCTTTTCCCTAAACAGCAAAGGTATATTGAAACCATGCTGCTGTAGGAAACTGTAGGAAGGATTGAAATTATTAATTGTTGGCAAGTTCTCTAAGACAAATTAGTGTTAAATATTAATTAATTAATTTTTAATGAAAGATTGATTTGTATAAGCTACAAGTTAATTAAGTCATTTAGATATTTTATATATTGTATATAAATTTTTTTTTTGGAGCACAGACTTCACAATAAATGTTGGAGCTAATCAGCAAAATGTGTTAAATTTCAACTTACGAAACTGTTAAATCGCAGCCGCGCATCTCTCGCACCATGCCGGCCTGTGCGAACTTGGAGGACTCGAGCTTTTCGGCCACACTGAAGCCGCGCGCGCCTTCCGCGTCATCGTCGCCCAGTAAACATTCCTCAAGGTAAAGTTTGCGCTGCTTGCGCTCGCGCTGTTGTTGGAAGAGAAAGAGAGAACGGAACGCATTAATAAATGGCTGACCGGGAGTCAGAACACCGAGTGAATGCCTAAAAATATACACAGAGGGCGGCGGCAACGCTGTCGCCTGTTTCGCAGCTGACGTCGCCGTCGCTAACGCTATCGCTGCTGTTGCTGATGCCATCAAATGAATCACGTTCGCTCTACACACCATATTAGCGGCCATTCGCTCTATTCACCACAGCTGATGGCTCTCTCTCTCTCTTTCTCTCACTTTCTGCCGCTCTCGAGCACCTTTGGCCGCCGAATGGGGCTCGACCCATTCGTTTAAAGTCCGTCGTTTATATCATTTCGTTTTCATTCGCTGGCTCGCCTCCGAAGGCGACACACTACATTAGTTGCAGAGCTGCTGATATTATTTCAATTTCATGGTCGTATTTTCTGGCAGTTTCGGCGGCAAAGCCAAGCACACCACCACCACTCGGTCGCTATTGTTAATGATGAGCGCGCCTTCAGGGCAGCATATTTGCATGCATTTCGTAAAGGGCAATGGAAATCGTATTGTCGACAGCGGCAGGCAAAGTGAGCTCCTGTTGCTGTCTCCTTTCTGTGCGCATGCACCGGCCTTGCACTTTGAATAATATTGCATGTGTATGTGTTCTTTTTATTTGTGTGTGTGATTTTTTTATGGTATATGCTTCAGCGCCGGCTAGCGGGCGGTAGTGAAAACGACTGTTGCGTTTTTCGTCCATCATCTTTATTAACAAGAACCCCTCGCATGCATACAAACACGCATACGAATATCCGCAGGCACACACACTCACATGAATACGTGCATGTGCATGTTTGTCTGTGGCTTTGAGTTATTTTTGCATTTTAGCAACTCTGTAAATCTCAGCTGTGGTGGACTTGTATTGAAAAAAATCTATAAACGTTTTTTGTGTTTCTATTTTCGTGGAGCTGTCCTCATTTAGTCGCTGTGTATTTTATATCCTTTTTAAGTGATTTGCTGGCTTCACGCCCGTTCGTCCGACTTCCACCGATCGCCTGCTCCACACCAATGCAGAAACTTGTTTGGCGTGTTCTAAACGTTTGTTGTTGTTTTTCTGGTTGCTTATTGTTGTGAGACAGAAAAAGCTTGTTTTGGCTGCCAAATGTCTGGCAACGCTAGTGGGCAATCGACAGGTAGAAAAAATACGACACACAGCATTAAAGTGCGTGTCTCTTTTGTGCTGGGAATGGATGTATGTATGTATGTAACTAAGTGCGTGCATAAGACGGCAGTGAAGTAGACCGAGTTGTTGTTACTGATTCTGATCATGTTGTCGTTGTTGTTTTGGTTTTGGTGTGGCGTCACCAAACATAACGCTAACCGGCCGCCTTGCCAGATTGCCGTTTGGTTAAGCTTAATGTATTCTATTAAGGTGCTAATTGCGAACGGCCGCCACTGTCACATGCGGAGCCCCTCAACAAAATTGCTGTTAGCTATCTACAAACGAAAACACACACAAACATATATGTATATACATATACACAAACACTAGCGAGCTGCGATAAATGTGCGTTTGTAGCATGTGCTCTCTGGGATTGAGTTAGTCGCTTTTGATATACATTTTTCATAAGCCACATGAGTTGAAACTAACACACGGCTAGAGATGTGAGCGTGCTCAGCTTGCTGACTGCTAGAGCTATCGAGGTAAAAATCACACTGTATATCTGGTTTAACTTATATATACATACATGGATATTAAAAGTCTTGAATACATAATTAAATATATGAGAAATAACGCCTATCTGAATAGTTGTACTTAGCTGTAATACAGAGCTTTAGTTTTTTTATGACATTATTAGAGCAATTTTTGTTTGCTTATTCGATTACTTAAAAGTATATTTAATGTTGTATACTTGGCGACAACACTACAGATGAACAAATTACAACTATTGTCTGTGCTTCCTGTGCAAAAAGCTAGCTCATCTCTAACCAAAAATACCAAGAACCAGAAAAAGCGGGCTTCCTGTGTTTAAAAAGCCACGCAACCACCACGCAGCGCGGATATGTGTATGCTTGTATATTTGTACGCATTTATGTATGTAACGATGCGCGCACTAAAATATTCATGAATTTAGATGACATTGCCAAAGGCAGCACACAGATGATAGGAAGGTAGAATGCGCATGTTGTTGTTGTTATTGCTGTTTTCTGTTGTTGGCCTGGCCAACGAGCGGCAGCAACAGCTGCTGTCCCAATTTGGTGCTAATCAAATGCACAAGCAAAGTGAATACAAGATACAACAAACAGACAATGCGAAGGAGAGCGAAGTAGAGAGAGAGAGCGAGAGAGACCACAACACAAAGAAGTGCTCAAATAATCACTATAAATGTAGTGTGGCCGTGCTTACACACCACACCACCAGCACACACATACACAGTCACACGCATATAAATATGTAAATCTACTATAGCTGTTATCTACGAAGATACTAGTGCACTACAAACATACTCACACACACACAACATAAAATAATATAAAAGACTAAATTAAAAACGAAATGCGAACAGTAACAAACAAACAAAATGGCAAAGAAACTGCTTTTGGTCATGCGGCGGCATCAGTTGAGCTTCAGTGCTCAACGGGCGCACTGCCGCTGCTGCACGGTTCACCATTTCTTGTGCCTTTGTGACCGAACTGCACTGTGTGTGTGTGTGTTTGTGGGAGATAGGACTTGAGCTTTAGAGAGTGAGTGAGTAGTGAATGAGCGTGCATTTATTTATATAGATTGCTAATGATAGCTTACAATGACAACGACAGCACTCGACAGTTAACGGCATACGCAATCTCGCGCCGCCCTAATGATTTTCTTTGGGCTTATCAGTATAAATCGTACGTTAGGTTCTTCTTTTCCTGATAATTGTTGTTGGCAATGTTAGTTCAATTACTCACCAATTGTCGGCGCTGCACACCTTTCGCATTGCCGCCTGCAGCGACGCCGTTGTTATTGTTGCTGTTGCTTTTGCCAGGCGACGACCCCGTTTCGGCGGTGGACATCGCCACAAAATCTGGTTTAATTTGCACTTGTACTTTGAAAACTTGGCACGCCTCGTTCTCTTCGTTTATGGGCGCTATAATCAGCGCTGCTTACGACTTATTCGTTGTTGTTCTTCCGCTTTTTGCACTTTACCACTTTTCACTTTTAATTTTTTGCTGTAATCAGGGAAGAAGATAGAAAGATAGAAACAAACTTAAATATGCATGAAAATTACAGTCGCTGAACTTGTTTGTTATTGTTTTTTTTTTCCTTTCGCTAACACGACGCGCAACGAAATACTAATTGCAGACAGCCTTTATTACTTCATACAAATTGAGCTGGCAGCGAAAAAATGAACATATACACACGCACGCAAAGTTACGGGTGCTCCCATGCGCTATACGTAGCACGCATTTGCTTCTACACTCCCACACACGACGAAGACGACTAAAACAAGAGCTAAAGAGCAGAGTGCCGCCAAGGCAAGCCAAGTGGAACTCAACATGGTGGGCTTTTGTTATGTTTTCTGAAAAATTCACCACGCTTCTCAACTGCCAGCCAACTAGATAGCCTGTGTTTGCCTGCCTACTTCTGTACTACGTCAGGGGCTCGGCTTTAATTTCGTTGGGGGATTCGGCTGGCACCCACATGTGCGCCACTGCTTCGTTGCCGCTGCTGCTGCTGCTTCTAGTTCCACTATTATTTCACAGGTCAGCGAAAAGAAAAAAGCCTGTGGTGTATTCAGTCGTAACACAGCAGTAGGCTCGGTACCTGCCTGCGTGTCGCTTACAAAAATATGTAAATATGTGTTGCATCCATTTTGCGTATTTTGTCATACGTACAAACGACAGCGACAGCGGCATCAATATAAAAGCTCACTTATCACATTGCCCCTCCAGACACGAAACACACACACTCTAGGTATTTGTCATTTCGCATTGCTTTTTTTTTCCCATGAACTTGTATTTAATATTCTAATTTTGCACTTGAGCATTGATGTACCGTTTGCTACGCGTTTACTCTCTGCTAGCTGGTTTTAGCCGATTTTCTTTCTAAGTATATCTTATTATTGTTAGTGGTGACTTTTTTGAGATATGTAAGCGTCACCACGCGACTCAGAAACTAGCGAACGACGAAGCCGACATCGTTCTGGTTAGACCTTTTTGTTTTTGTTTTTTGCGTCTCCAAATTACACTCATTTTAATTATAATTAATACGTATGTATATGTATATACATATTCGTATTTTTATATGTGTTTATCTGCTATATACAGTATATATTTATATACATATATATGTATATACAGCGACCCGGCCGTACATATGTACATACACATGCCTCGCACTGTTCACATCACACAAGCACTTATACAAATACATATGTACATGCCCGTAAATACACACACACACATACACATATGAACGATTCACATCCATGCATGCATGTGTGTACATATGTGGCTCATAATTAATTAAATCTGTAAACAGCGCCACTCAATTTGTGCAAATGTCTTGCATCTGCAGCTCGCTAAACAGTTTGCACACTTAGCAAAATACGTTGAAACGAGAGATATTGTATTTTTTTACCCATTTTTAGCACTTATCGAAGTTTTTAATACGTCGTCGCAACACGTCCGCAAAACACAACCGTACTTCATGAAAACTTAACTGCGACTGACTAGTGTGACCGTGAGCAGAGAACTGTGAAAATGGCTTCTACTGTATTAACATTATTTTAAGTCTTAACAGAATATGCACAAAACTCACAGGGTCGAAAACGCCTTAACATTACGATCTCATCTTAAGATTACTGAGTTTTATAACAGAAAAGTTAATTCTTAAAGCCTGACTTTTTAAATCCCATGTAAGCCGAAACAGCATTGTATGCAATCATTTCTAGTACTACTTTACTTGATTAAATTTGGAATGTATTCATAGCTATTTCCCAGACCCCAATCTGTGTAAAGTGCCATTGCGGTAGTTAACAGCTGTTATTACCCAGCCAGAGTTACCAGATACTACCACGAAAAACACAAAATACATTTAACATACATTTAATGTGAATTAAAGGAAAAATACGCTTACGTATGGATACATATGAATATTGTTATCGTAAAATTAATCAAATTATAAACAGACATGCTGATAAAACTAGTTTTGCTTATGCACACTATAAACATATCCACCCAGGACTATAACTTATTAAAGCTACAGGTCCTCATCCATTTGCTCATCAGACTTATTTAAATTCACATTGCATGTATTGTTATTATCAAAGAACTCCAGCTCATCGTCATAGTCATCGAGATGCACGTCTCCTGACCCTGGATCCACTTGTCCAGAATTTGACATACGCACTCGCACCTGCTCCTTGGGCAGCGATTGTGGCTGTGACTGCGTCAGTTGCAAGGGCGATGGTTGCCATGGCACCAATGCTGTACAAGGCCTTGGAATCGATTTAAGTACCCATTCAGGTGGTATGGCACATGGTGCTGCAATTGGAGGAACGCCCTGTTTCAGTTCATCACAGATCACAATCCGATTGGCATTGCGTAGTTTCTGCTCAAGTTCCATGGCTGCCATCTGATAGGCCGGATTCGGGTGATGTGTTTTGCCCGTACTGGTCGAGGGTATGTCATCGGTGGCCAATCCTCCGTTCACACTTGGTACACTGTTATTGTTTCCCACTGTGCGTACGGAGCCCACACCATTCGCATCTCCAGAGATTTGCAGCCCACTAAAGTGCGCCGTTATTCGTTCCTCGGTTATCAGTTGTTTGGCGGGGCTGTTGAAAAAAATTTTAATATATAGAGAATATATATACATATATAGGTTTATTTATACTTTATATACTTACAGCCCGGAGGCCAGTTGCTCCAGAGATTTCCGCTTGTGGTGCCACTTGCCACATTGTGGGTCAGTCTCGATATTATAGTTTGCGTTTGAGCCAAATTGCATGATTCCGCCGGGCTGAGGTGCATTCGTTGTTGCCAGCATCCAAGGCATTCCATCGAGCAGCCACGGATGTGTTGCTGGATGTGGAAAGACCGCTGGCTGGTCCGATTTGTGCAAATGACTTTGATCGGGGCCGCCGTAAGACCTGCAAGCGTACAAAAAGACGCTTAGCCAATTCTATTGACTGCATTTAAAAACAGACTTACTGCATTTTTTGTTGAATTTCGCCTTTAGCAAAATCTTAGAAATCTTGTACTCTTTTTCTCAAGTTTTCAACTATTTTGTTTTCTTGTGTTTTGCTAGCGTTGCCACTTGTTTGCATGTTTTCGAGAGTATCGATACTTTTCCACTCGCGGTATCACTGACATAGAATGTGCTAGAAAATGCCAAAGAGAGCATTATAAAAAGCGCGCTGTCGGAAGATTTTTTAAATATTTTACAATTCAAGCGCAAGTGATCAAGTGTTTAATTTATTTTGTTCAACTAAAAACCAGTCTAAGACGCTAAAAAAAATAGTGCTTTAAAGTATAAAATAATCAAAACAACAAATTTATTCAAAATGCGTTTCACAAGGTGAGTTTTTATTTTTATAAATATAAATGTCGGTAACCGATTATTATTAAATATTATCAAAATAGAAGTTATGCTCTAAATTATGTTGTCTTATCAGTTCTTAAGAAATAAAATTTTTAAATAAAAATATTTGTGTTCCAAAGTAAAAACAATTATTTAAATATTAACTTCAAGTTAATATTTAAATGTAAATCCAATTATAAAATATATATAAAATTAAAAAATAAATAAATAAAATAAAGTACCTCAAAAATAAGGTAACTCATTCGTTTTTAAGAAATAACATTTTATAAAATAAAAAAAAAAATGGTGTTTCAAAGTAAAACCAATGATATAAATATTAATTTAAAGTTAATATTTAAATATTAATTAATAAATTCGAGTTAATATTTAAAGAAATTTTTAATTTGACACCTCGACCTATATCTAAAAAATGTTATTTCTTAAAATAAAAAATTATATTAAATATTTTATAGCCTCAATAAATACACAAAAATCAAGAAAAATTTTTACACACAAACGATTATACGCACGGGCTAACGTCACACGTTTTATTTTGCCCCCCTTCCAATGTTATTTAATTTCAACTTTATCTTCCATGTGGTAATAATTTCAATTACTTCAATCGACGCTGCGCTCACACTTTCCTTTGCTTATCACATATTATTCGAAAATAACATGTTTTTCTCATTTCAATCTTCGCATCGATTGATTCGCCCTGGGAACATCAGCAGACGCAGCATCACTCTCCAATGACGCTTACCAATAACAGCCGGCTGTTATTGCCGTGGCTGTTGCTGCTGCTGATATTTTTCCTTTAGCTCATTTACTTAGGAAATATCAGTCAGTCATCAAGTTACTAGGCACGATGTATATATTTAGCGCATGGGGTTGGGGGTTGCATCGGATGGGGCTTATCAGCGCAAGACAACAATCGATCCCCCTGGGCGTTTATTGACGTCACAGTTCGGGCCGATCTCTTGCGATGCAATTAGTAATCACGCTCAACAATTTCGTCAGGCTGGAAAAACACTCGGACTAAAAATAAAATCCAATTATTTTCTAAATTATATTCCGTTAAACTTCCATCTCAATTCTACGGTAGCTTTTTAATTCTACATTTTCTTATATTAATGAGAGCTTTCATGCGCAAAACTTTTAAGTCCCGCCTTTACCCCCTGCTAATATCTCAGCTTTTGCTTCTTGCATACTGGATAAAAGCTTGCCAGCTTGTCGTCAAGTAAACACAGCACGTGTGTGCGATCGCGATTTTTGCTGATGCAGGGCAGTTCATTGAGAACATAGGAACCGATCGGTTTGAATTTTCCAAATTGGGTGTGGAAAATTAGTGCATAACTTGACGAAAATCAGGTATAGCGAATATTTGTAAAAAATTTGTGTTTGCATGCGCATATACAAATTAAATGTCGAGATCTGTCTGCCAGACAGTTTGCATAATTTGTTATTAAGCATCGCCAATTGTGAATCAAAATAAAAACAAAGTGCAGCCAACTGATAACGTCAGCTATCACCCCCACAGTCAGCAAAACAGCGGCTCTGTCTATTAAATATAGCGAAAAGGGTCAATTAGCAATACACGTGCTATTATTTCCACATAGAAAACTAAAATTAAATCAATGCAAATTAGTTTTACTTTTCTTTTGTCAAGACACAAGTTCTGAAGCCCACATATTTTCTCAGTTTTGTTGGTGTGTGTTTAAGTAAGCAAATACATGCATACATATGTGCATATGTTGGTATGCGTGCCTATGTGTGTGTCTGGTGAGCATCAGCATTTCATTCGGTTTTTATCGGTTTTGTTGTGGTACTTTTTTTTTTTTTGCACAAATATACAAATTTTACCGTAAGGAAATATGTACATGTCAGTTATTTAGGTAAACCTATGAGAGCACAGCACATTTTCTAAGTTTTCACCATATAAGAGTGGAAATTGTCTATGTACTTCATATATAGTAAAATTTAATTACTGTTGCTGTGAAAAATGTCCAAAATTTTAGTCAGGGCATTTGTGGCCAAAGTACGTATCCCAAAGACACATTATGTGCAGTCGGCAATGCGAGTGCACGAAATTTCTTGGAAATTGCATGAACGAAACAAAAAAAATGTGTAAGTGTATCCGAATACTGTTCTTTTGTTACGCACACATACATATGTATATATATTATATATAAAAATATATCTTTTTTTTTTTATATATATATATATTTGTGGTAGGGCCTAATAGTTAGAAAGTAATTGTTTTCTAATTTACAAAATAAAATATCTGCACGTGCCCTTGAAAAACAGCTGTTGCCAATGGAGCGTTGCCACTACTCAGTGCTTGTGATAAATCTGGCAACGCGTATCTAAGTTGAATTAGATATTTAAAATCAGGTTTTTTTTCCTAGTTAGTTATCGTGGTGAAATGGCATGCGTTTATAATGTGTATAAGGTTAATTTATACTTGTTTTAGAATCGTATGCTATAAAAGCTTTACGCAAAGAGCTTAAACCTGTTATCAACAGTGTCGTTTAATGTATGTCGTGAATGTGATTCGTTGTTTGCGAGCGCTCATTTCAATACGTACAGTGGAGAGTTAACGTTCGACGAGCCAGGCACGGTCGTGTGAGATACACCCATACAGTACCTGTGTTTATAGTATATCTACATACATATGCATACACAAATATGTACATATGTATAGATATTGAATCGCTGTATAATAAACAATTTGTAAGCACTACAAATTCTGCGAACAACGCAGTCGCTGCTGTTGCAAACAAAATCACACTGCGATCAGAATAACCCATGACTCATTCTGACGTGGCTGCGCAGCTAGCTGATAAATACATATTATTGCCAGTCGGGCAACATCGGGGAAGTACCTTTTACGAATAAAAGCTGTGCTCGCACGAACGGCAGTACGATTGTTTCATTTTCGTTTTGGATGAGCAGTGAAACGGTCGGAAAGGCTACAAGCGTACAACTACGACGTAAAAGCGAACGCGAATTAAAACAAATTATGTGAAGTGAGCGACACGCGCTCACGTGGATAATAATACAACAGCAGAAGCAGCTTGAACAGTAATAATAACAACAGGAAAATGAATCAACAGCAATTCTTTGATCTGGATCAGGGAAAGAATATATCCTACATAAATGAT